GCAAGGACAGGGGCAGAGGCCTGGCCACTGCCCTCCCCTGCCACCATCACAGCCGCCTTGTCACCTTCTGCCCCGTGGTTGGCCCTGGCCTCCGCCAGCCCCCCAGCCCCAGCCCCAGCCCCTTCCTCTACCTGGGCCCTCTCATTCCTGAATAGAGTGGCCTCCCACGACTCGGACTCGCGGACCAGTCCCAGCATCTCCAGGAAACTGGGCGCCCTCCCGACCAATCTGAGCTTGCGCAGCGCCTCGTCCAGAGGCTCGATGAGAGTGGCCTTGGTGAGCACCTGCCTCAGGCGCAAGTGGTCGACCGAGGCTCTGGCCAGGGCCCCCTTCTCCATGGCTTTCTGCAGCAGGACCTCGAGCCGCAGCACGAAGGCCGACAAGCGCTCGCCCCGCCTCTGCTGAGCCGTCAGACACCTCAGCCGCGTGGCCGCCTCGGAGTCGGTATCCCCAAACACCTGGACCAGGGCGTCCAGGCACTCCTGCGCGGAACGCGCGGGGTTCTCGGCCAGGAGCCCGTGCACCAGCTGCAGGGCGGTGCCGCGCAGGCCCTCGAGCAGCCGCCGCCGCCTTTCCCTCTCAGAGACCGCCTGCCACACCTGCAGCATGTCGCTGGCGTGGTCCAGCCAGGCCTGGAAGGGCTCCTCGCCGGGGCCCGGCTCCTGGCGCCCGGAGAAGATGCCCAGCGGCTGGTAGCGCACGGTCTCCACCCAGGGCTGGACCGCCTGGGTGACCGAGCGCAGCCAACGCAAGCGCCGCAGCCCCAGCCCCAGGGCGCCCGCCACGCTCTCCACCGTCTGGCCCTGCTGCTCCAGGAAGTGGAACACGCGGCCCAGAACCTCCTCGCCAGAGCAGCGGGGCACGCACACCACGCGCCACGGACCCCCGCTGCCCTGGATCTCACGGGGCACCTGCGCGTGGTCCACATCCTGCGCTAGCTCCACCAGGGCCGCGGCGGCGTTCTCCTCCTCGCGGAACACCCGGCCGAGCACCGAGAAGCGGCCCAGCGGCCACAGCGCAGCCTCCAGGGCCTCGTGCACCTCGGCATCCTCGCACTCCTCGGGGATGCCCACCACCAGCAGGCCCCGACGCGGGCTCACGCCCATCCACCGGCACCAGTCGCGCAGCATCGCCACCGCCATGGCGCCCGGTGCGGCTCGGGTCCCGGCGCGGAGCAGGCCTGGGAACGCGAGCGCCAGAACAGGTCAGTGCTGCGCCGGGCCCTCCCTGCCCCCCTCCCCAGTCCCGCCCCGCGCGGCCGCCGACTTCCCCGGGGGCAGGAGCCTCCTCCCCCTCCCACCGTCCCCCCACCCCCCGGCTCCGTCCTTTGGGTACCTTGTCCCGGCCGCCGCCTTCTCGACAGAAGGAAAGCGGGGCTGGCACGATCGGGTTGCTGCTGCCTGGGGTCCCCGCGCGTCTCTCTCTCTGTCTGCCCTGCAAGCCTCTGGGCTCCGGGCCGTTCCCAGTGTGGTATGAGATCCCCGCGCCTGCTCCTCGCTGCGTCTGCAGTGCGGACGGGGGGCGGGGTCACGGCAGCGTCTGCGAAGGCAGAGCGCGGACCCCCACGTTGCCCTGGAGACCGCTGGGCCATTGGCTCGCGCGCGGGTCACGAGGCTCACAGCTGCCTCAGGCGCCCGCGCCCCAGACAGCCCCGCCCTCTAGGGGGCGCTGGCTCACCAGGGCCCCTCCCAATACCCCCCACCACCACCACCACCACCAGTCTTTCCAGCCCTGCAGCCCAGGAAGTGCTCTGGAGCGCAGGCGTGCACAGGTGGCCCAACCCAGAGGTGCCCTGCTAGGGGGCGCTGGCCAGCACTGTGCTCTAGGTGGTGGAGGTCCAGCTGGGGGGCCCTGGGACCCCCTAGCCCCTGTTACCTTCCCTCCCTCGCAGTCCCCACCCACGAGTGCTCTCTTCACCAAGCCAGGCGAGCAGAGGTGGGGTTCAGTGGCACTTACCCACTTGGGCGCCCACCGCACACACATGCCCTTGGCGCCCCCACCTCCCCACCACACACCCACAGAGGTGCAGACTTGAGTGAAAGGCCAGCCCTCACTGACTTGGAGCAAAGGTGTCATGACCACTTCATAGCAGTTCAAGTCTTCCAGGGAGTCAGTCCCCAATCCCACTGGACCCTGTGTGCCTCTAGTTCTCCTAACTGCCTCCCTCCCCCACCCCACCCCTCCTTTGGGGACCATCATCATCCTAGCATTGCAGGGAAACTCACCCCTGTCCTAAGCCCTGCTTGCTGTGCCCTGGAGCCTGGCGTTGGGGTGGGAGTCAGTCAACATCCAAGGGCAACACCAGGACTTTGATGAGTGGAGACTTTGTGTCCTGCACCCAGGGTACAGGGGTGTGTGCACACGTGCTGCTAGTGGGGCCAGACCATCCTGTGATCCTGGCTTAGGGGTGGGGGTGGGGTGGGGCCACCGCATCTCCATCGACCCAGGAAAGGGCACTGGACACACTCCAACACCCTTTAGTGGTCAAAACACTTAACAAACCAGGAATGCAAGGGAAATTTCTCCGCATGCTGTAAAGACCATTTCTGCAAAACCCATAGCTTTCTCCCTAAGCGCGGGGGAAAGCGAGGGGTCCAGCTCTCACCACTGTGGCTCAACTTAGTACTGTAAGTTCTTGCTCCATCAACGAGCCGGGGACAAGAGAGACAATCTTCAGAAAGGAAGCTGTCAAATGATCTCTGTTCACAGGTGACGTGAGCCTATGTCCAGAAAATCACAGAGAATGCACAGGAAAGCCACGAGAGCTAGTCAATTCAGCAAAGTAACAGAGCAAGATCAACACACAAAAATCAATTGTGTTTCTAGAAACTAGCAAGGAACAACCCGAGAAAGAAATCAAGAAAACCATCTCCCGGACAATAACCGAACACCTGGGACTCCGTCTCACCAGGGAACTGAAGCACATTTATGCTGAAAGCTATAAAACACCGCTGAATGACAGTCTAGAGCACCTGTCCCTGTCAAGTTCCGACTCATACCAACCCCACGTGACAAAGTAGAGCTGCCCGTGGAATTTTCATGGCCTTCATCACCAGGGGAGTGGATCGATCGCCAGGTGTCCATCATCAGACAGCAAACAGTGGTCTCGCCATACAACGGAGCCTTGGGGGGGGCACAGTCCTCAAGCTCTGGGCTGCTGATAAAGCTGCTCAGTTGGAACCCACCAGCCACTCAGCAAGAGAAAGATGTGGCAGCCTGCTTCTATCAGGGTCACAGACCTGGAAACCCTAAGGGGCGCTTCTACTCTGTGCCGCCCGGTCTCTGTGAGTCAGGGTGTACTCCAGGGAAAGGAGCCACATTATTTAGGAGTAGAGAAAACAATGAGGTGCCGCTGGCAAGTGCTGAAAGAAAGGTGGCAGAGGTGACAGCATGGAGAATCCTTTGAAAACCGGATGTCAACTGTCATAGAGCATACACACAATGATGGCACCTGTTGCTGTATGATTGCTCCTGTAGGAAATGTTGGGAGTAAGCAAATGACTAGAGGTAGAGATCCATCTGTGCTTACAGGGGCTGGGGTGACAGGGTGGGGCCTGGGGAGTTGATTAGTGGGTATGGAGTTTCAGTTTGGGGTGATGAGAAATGACAGGGAAATCTATGTCCGTGAGGGGTGCACAGAGTTTTGCAAGGACACACCCACAGAGAGTGTGGAGATCTGGGGGACCTGTCCAGACCCTGTGTGCAGCAGCTCTCAGCCTCCCTGTGCTCTGTGCCCTTGGTAGCAAATGGGCTCTGGCTGTCCTCTTTTTGCTGCTTATGGTAGCGTGGGGGCGTACCTCCCCAGAGACCCTCAGGCCCCTCAGTTCCATCTCAGAGGCATCAAAGAGCAGGGAAGTAGGTCTCCCAGAGTGCTCTAGTCCAAGGTGTGTGTGAGAGACAGAGAGACAGAAACAGAGAGAGTAAGTGAGCGAGCGTGGAGCATGCACTAGGTCGTGCTTCAGCAGAACTTGAAGAGTCAAGGTGCAGGGTGTTCCTGTGTGTCCTGACTACCCAACAGCCCCCACACATTCCACTGCTGCTTCCCCTGGCTCTCAGCCTCCATGGGTCCCTGGACAGCCAGGGCAGCTCTTGCTTGCCCCAGATCTGCCATTCCCCATCTGGCAAGCTGACCTGCAGGGCCCTGGTTTTTCACCCTCCCTCAGCCTCAGAGTTGCAGCTGGTCCCTCTTGGGCTACAACAGCCCTTTGAGAGACACCTCTAGGCACCCCTGAATGGGGCTGCTTTTGGGCTGGGTCCATCAAAGCAAATCCAAACAACAACAATAAAGCAAAATCTCAAACCTGTGGCTCTCCTGTTTGTTAATTCTGCCCCATCATCGCAGCCACCTCAAAGGGGAAGGGGTCGGGGCGGGGTGGGAGTTGTGTCAGGGCTATGGAGTTTCAATTTGGGGGTGTCAGTAAGATTTGGGGGTGAATGGTGGTTGCAGTTGCACAACACAGTGCATTTAATCCATGGCACTGAATTGTACAGTTAACATGATTTCAATGGCAAAATGTATATGATGTATATTTCACCAAAGAAAAATAAAAACACAGACAAGGCCCCCAGTTCCGAAGCTGTTAGCAAGTACTTTACTAAGGAAGCTGGAGAGAAGACTACTCAGCTCCAAGGGGGGAAAAAAAAAAAAGCGCTCCCAGTGGGCCAGGGAATTGTAATTCCCCTTTGAAAATGTGTGTGGGGTTTCTTAGAGTTAATCATATGCCTATCCTGTAGCAACAGAGCTTTGGTAGAGTAGTGGTCAGCAGTTTGAAATTCCCAGCTGTTCCTGGGGAGAATGATGAGGCTTTCTGCTCCCACCAAGATTTACAGCCTCACAAGCTCTGTGCAGGGTCACTATGAGTTGGAACACACTCCATGGCACACAACCACCAGCACCCTCTACCAGGAGTCCTGGGGTGGTACTGTAGGATATGCACTGGATTGTAAGGCCAGTTTGAATTTCAGGTCTGAAGTTCAAGTTCACTTGCTGCTCCTCAGAAAACCTGTACAGGGTCAAAACCAACTCGATGGCACTAAACAACACCACCCTCTACCCATTCCTTCCATTCCTAGAATCCTCAAAAGAGGAAAGTACACAAACAGTCCCACGCAGGAGGTCTGCACCAGCTTTCATCATAAAACCCTGGACTTTATCCTAATACCCCACAGGCAGCCACAGAAGCATGGGGTGGCGCTGGAGGATAATCACTGGACTGCTAAACACAAGGTCCGCTGTTCAAAGCCTACACAGCGTCACTGGGAGTTTGAACCAACTCCAAAGCACTCAAGAACAACAGAGAATGCTCCTGTGCCTGTCAGCATGAGGGAAAAAGGATTTTCTACAATTTCCTATGTGGGAATACCATTAGCAATGAAAATGGGGAGAGGAAGGGACAACTAATGTTGTAGGGGAAATGGGTGCATCTCAAAACCCTACTGCTGAGTAGGAAGCCAGACACAAGAATGGTTCCAAGTGAGTCCAATGGAAGGTAATACAAGGGCAGGAGAGTCCCCTAGCTAGGGCCAATGACATGTGCAGGTGGGCTGCCTCCAGAGAGGTAGCGCGAACTGAGGGCAGGCTGGGGGGAACGCTCTGGAAAGACTGAAATGTTTTATATTTTGAGAAGAGTAGGGTTGCTTGCATAGGTATGAGCACTTCCTATGCTTGGAACAGAGGTGCCAGGGAAGAGGGGCGCTCTATTGAGTCTGTGCTATAGAGCATATCCTGGTATCTCCCACACCACCCCTGGAAACACCAACCCCTACTCCACTCCCTCCCCCATCAGAGTTGCCCTGGGCATGTCCAGGCTTTCTCTGGCCCTCCATCTCTGCCCGAATATCTGAAGCTCTCCTCAGGATCCCTCAGTTCTGACCTCAGCTATCACAGGGCCCCCAGCTCCACTGGAACATTTGCATTTGCAAGTGCCTGGCTCTCCCAGGGTCCTGGGCTGCTGTGAGGACTCTCTCCTTCCTTACTTCAGAAAGGCTGAGAATGCCTGTGGACACAGACAGGTGGGTCTCAGGGACACCTCTTGCCCCACACAAGGGGCCACATCGCTGCTCCCTGCCTCCCAAAGGTCCTGGTGGGCTGCAGTAGGCTGAGAGCTGCCCTGAGATCCCAGAGGATGAGGACCACTGCTGGTCCGGATCCCACCCCTCACCAGGCCCCCCTAGAACTACCTCTCTGACCACTGTGCTCCAGAGGGGTCTCCGGAGTCAAAGCCTGGCAGAATCTCCACCCAGGGGGTCCTCAGGATGGCACTGAGAGTTCAGTGAGCTGTGGGGGCACAGCTTGGAGCCAACCCTACCCTTGGCCCAGTGCCTCCTGCCTGGCCTGGCCCACCCAGTCCTAGGTGGTTCCTCCGCAACAGCTGAACACAGGCCAGTGTTGTTTCCAGCATGCAACCCTCACCCCCACCCTGTAGCCAGCAGCAGAGAGGAGACTCAGCAGAAACACCCAACATGATTTATTGAAGAGAAACACTCACTGGAACCGTTGAAGGGAAGAGACTCACAACAGAGGGAACTTGTAACCGCCACTAGGGGCTCCGGAGCTTCCCTTCCCTTGGCGTCCCTAAGCAGAAGCCTTGGCTGCCTTTGAGGTGATGCCCTCCCCCTGCCCCAGAGCCTCAAGTCCCACCTGCCAGGGGACAATGGACTCTGGCAACATCCACTGACTTTAGGGGGCCCCTCCCGACCCACCCACTGGGGCGTGGCCCTGCCTCGTGGGCCCACGGGACAGTACAGAAGAACACTGGGAAATACGCTGAGCACTTGGCACCAAGTCAAGGAAACTGAGTCACAAACAACAGCAGGGGTGCAGTTTCAAACACAGTCCCCAAGGGGTTCCCCGCAGCCTTCCTGGTCCCTGGTCCATCCTTCTTCCTTCAGGAGGTCACTCTTAGGGTGAGGCCACTCCTGTGTCTGTCTGTCCACTGTCTTCCAGGCCTGGGCTGGGGCCTCCAGGGAGGAACTGCTCAGAGGAGAACACACACCTCCACACGAACAAGCACCAATTGGCGGGAATCTATGGCAGGAAAGCGAGTGGACTGGAGTAGGCCAGCCTCCGCGGGCCCTCATTTCACCTAGTATGGGTCCAAGAGGTCATCCAGGGTGAGAGCCTGAACTCATCACAAGAAGGATGTTGGGGGGGGGGGATTGGGTGTCTGATGTGTGAGTCTATGTTTGCCTGACACCAGGGTAACCACAGGGTTTAGGGAGCTATGGGAGGGTTTCCCAACACAGGATGCAGCCGACCAGAAAGGACAATGAGAGGGGGTCCCCCTTTTGGGAGGCTCCTTGAAGATGGCCACCTCCCCGTCCCATCTCTCCAACCAGGGCAGTGGCCCATGTGTAGGCTGGATGGTGAGAGCGTTGGGGTCTGGTTGGCCAGGTGAGTCCTGTTCACACAAGCATAGGCAGAACAAACAACCTCCAGTTCCCATCAAAGCTGTCCTTAATCCCATGCTGGAGAGCCAGCTCTGGGTCACTGGCCCCTCAGGTCCCCAGGCTCTGGACTCTCTTGGCAATTTGCACTCCTCCCCAAGCCCTCCAGCCTGCAGACTGGGCTCCAGCTCCCGAGGATGGGCTGGAACCTGCAGCCTCGCTTCCAGGGTGCCTGTTCTAAACAGTGCCGCCCTGCTCTCTCTCCAGTCCTGGCCCATGGGACAAGGGTAGATCCACAACTGTGGCCACAAGTAAGTCTCCTCCAGGACCCTCTTTACCTGGGGACTGCTGGTCATGCCCAGCTTGGAATCCACAGAGAGTGGTCTGAAGGAAAGGACTGGTTTTGAGCCACCAGCCACATCCTCTTCAACCTTCGAGGCAGGCTCTTCATTGGTGACACTACTCCCCCACCTGCTGAGACACCTTTGGTCCCTTGTCCTCTTCTGGGTCCTGCTCCAGGAATTGCCCAAGGTCTGTTCAGTGGAATCCCTTCCTGCTGGAGCTGGGCCAGGGAACTCTGCCCCAGCTCTCCTTTCGCCCTCTTCTGTCTGCCTGGGTCCTCCCTGCCCCTTCTCCCAGCATCTGTTTTGTCTCCAGGGCCTGTGACAGGGAGTAGGGCCCTGGCTACTGAGCCTACTTGGGCTTGGGCTTGGGCTGGCCCTGCTCCCAAGCCCAGCTCCCGTTTCCCATCTCCATGGAAGCCTCTCTCTTCTGCTGAACTAGAGGCAGGTTTGGGGGATTGCTGCACTGCGCTCTGATGTGGCCATCCTCCCCGCAGCCATAGCAGAATGAGTGGCGTTTCCTCTCCTCTGAGCCCGGAGGGCCACCTCGGGCCACTCCTCCCCTGCGCCGTTGGCCTCGACCCCGCCGGCGCCTGGAGCTCTGGGAGGGCCTCATTCCAGAGGTGTCCCCTTTGCCAGCCACCTGGCCACCCAGATCCTCAGCCCTCTCAGGCCCCACCGCTGCCTCCCACTCCTCTTCCTCCCGAAGGAGCTTGACCAGGGCCAGGAAGCCAGGAGGTCTCCGCCGCTGCTTCATAAGCTTCAGCCGGTCTCGGAGTTTGTCTGGTAGGGTGGCTCCGCCTAGGACTTGCTTCAGACGAGCCTGGTTGACATTCTTCCGGGCGATAGCATTTTTCTCAACAGCTCTTTGGAGCAAGGGTTCCAAACGGACCACAAAGCTAGACACCTTCTCTCCAAGCTCCTGGCGGGCCTTGCAAAACTTCACCTGGGTGATTTTGCGGCTCTCCACAGGCCCAAACACCTGCTGCAGTGCTGCTAGGCACTCCGACACCGAGACGGTGGCATTGTTGGCCCGCAGGCCGCTGACCACCTGCAGCGCAGGGCCCCGCAAACATTCCATCAGCCGCCGCCTCTTCTCCGCCTCGGGCACCTGCCACATCTGCAGCACGTCAGTGGTGTGCTCCAGCCAGGCGTCAAAGGCCAGCGCCCCAGGGATGGACACTGTGTGCCCAGAGAACACACGGAGCTCACGGTACAGCATCTGCTCTAGCAAAGGCTGCACCACCGCCCCCAGGGTCTGGGCCCAGGCCCAGAAAGCAGGGGAGATGGTCAGGCCTGGTGCCTGGCAGGCAGGGCTCGAGCCCAGCACGCGGTTCATGTCGGACACAGAGCGCCTCTCTTCTTCCAAAAAGCGGTTCAGCCGGTTGAGAAACTCGCTGTCTGAATTTCGGGGCTGTATAATCACTTCCCAGGGACCCCCCTTTGCTGGGATTTTCCTGGGGGCCAGCGCATAGTCGATGTTTTGCGCCAGCTCCAGGAGAAATGCTTGGGCGTTCTCCTCCCTCCTAAACATCCTGCCGACCACACGATACTTGCCCAGGTGCCTGAGCGCCGCCTGCAGCGTTTCCTCCAGCTCCACCTGGCCATAGTCCTCGGGGATTCCCAGGACTAGCATGGCCCGCCGGATGTCCAGGTGCTCCCCTCTAGACCAGTCCTGTAACAGGGCCACCGGCATGGCTCCACCTCTTGGATTCAGCCTGGGGTGATCAGTGCTGGAGGCTTAATCTCTGCGCCTCCCAAGAGCCCAACTCCGTGGCCTGGGAATGTGAGAGCGAGAGCAGGTCAGTGCTGCCCCGGGCCCTCCCCAGCCACCCCTCTCCCGCCGTGCGAGGACTCAGCATCCCCAGCCCAGAACCCCCCAACACCCTGCCCCGTCCTTTGGGTACCCTCTCCTGGCCGCCGTCTTCACGACCTAAGGCTCGCGAGAGAGGCGCTGTCTGCCTGCAGCTGGCTGGTGTTCCCGCGCGTCTGTCGGTCTGTCTGCCCTGCAAGCCTCTTGGTTTCGACCCGCTCGCAGCGTGGCACGTGGCACACGCGCCTGCTCGCCGCTGTCTCTGCAGTGCGGACGCGGGGCGGGGTAGCGGCGGAATTGGCAGCGGCAGATCAAGGACCCCCACGTCGCCCCGGAGACCGCTTGGCCATTGGCGCGCGAGCGGGTCACGAGGATTGGCTGTTGCTGCAGCTGCCGCGGGCGCGGGCACCCCAGACAGCCTGTGACATCACGGCCCCCTCGCAATATCCCCCTAGGCTTCCCACCCCTCCCTTCCGGAAGGCTCTCTAAGGCACAGGTGTGGCCAAAGGACCACACTTGGGCTGCGGAGAAGCTGGAAGGCTTTGGGACACTGTCTGCTCTCCGTTCCCTTCCTGGTTGTCCAGGGCCCCCACACAGGTGCTCACGTTGCCACACCAGGTGAGGAGCACCTGGTGCAGGTGGGATTCAGTGAAGGCAATCCATCTGGGTACTCCCACGCTTGCACACACACAAGCACACAATATTCAGACCGTGTTGGCGGCCACAGCCTGCGGGCATGGGCCAACCAGTTTTTCTAAAGCTTCTGAGGCTGCCTGGGGTCAGTCATCAGCCCCAAGGAGGCTGACCAGGCATTTCTCTTGCTGTGCACTGGTCAAGCTGCTAACTGAAAGGTCTGTGGTTGAGACCCATCAACTGCTCCCTGGGACAATGATGGAGCTGTTGGCTTCCTCAGAGACTTTCAGGCCTGGCAACCTTGTGAGGGGAGTTCGACTTCATGGCCTCTGCTGCAGAGGGTTTGCTTGGCTGCTCTTTCCAAGTATGTGCTGTAGGGGTGCACAGCCGGGAAGCTGCTTCGTGACTTGGAGCCCAGCCCTTTGGGCCTGTCTTCCTCTGCAGTGGGGTCTGTTGTGTCAGTTGAGTGCCTGTCTGTGTGCTCTTACCAGCTCACCCACTGTGTCAGGGCTCCCAGCTTGTCCCAACCACACAAAGAGAAGGTTAGGGGAATGCCAGGTGGGCTCCTCCAAGTCTGAAAACCCACATGTGCCCTGGTGATGGTATGAGGCAGTTACCAGCATTCCAGTTGTCTGCCTTCCCTCTTCAGTGACATGAAACAATGGGTCCTAGGGACTCTCCCCTTGGTCAGACTGGACTGTCACATGAGGCTCAGGGACGTTAAGAGACAAGTTGAAAGTCACATGCCTTATTACAGACCAAGTTTAAACTGGATCCTAACTGGTGTCCATCACCCATTGAGTAGACTTGGGACGATCCACTGCCACAGGCTGCATGGACATTCACATGTGTTCCCCCCTTTCACGTCCCCTCTCCGTCCTGGGGAGCAGTCTTCTTCATATCTACCAATGAAGGAGCTGACTTGACATGAACAGTTGGGTTTGCTTGCTCAGAATCACGTAGGGAAATGGCATGTCTGTGGTTTGCCTTGCAAACACCTAAGAGGTTATTCAGAATCTCTCTCTCAAACACTTGCTGGGCAATTTCTGGACTCACAAAAGTTCCAGGAGGGAGCATGGTGTTGGGGAACAGCAGCTTGGGCAACTGTGTCATTCTGAGGGTTCACCTGGCCTTGAATTGAACCTCAGCTGCTCAACTTCCAGGGGCGATAAGTCAGGCTCAGAGAAGGGACACGGCTGGCTTGGCGCCGCACAGTGAGTTGGTAGTAAAGCCAGGAGATGCCAAGGCGTGGAGCATCTTGGCTGGTTGAGACTTGGTGGCACTGAACAACAGGGGTTCCATCCAGGTGTGGAGAAGTCCTGGAGTTTGGGAGAGAGATCTGGGGACAACCAGAGCGGAAATGGCATAGGCTGTACTATGTTCAGTTTGAATAGTTTTCAAGCCCCTTGGTGATTTGAGTTAGCTTTTGCCTTGGTTCCAGAAGCCCTCTAGGTACCGTGTTGGGCTGCTAAGCTCAAGGTCACCTGTTCAAAGATGAGGCAGTCTGCTCCCTGTCAAGATTGACACTCTTAGACACCCTCAGGGGCAGTTCTACTGTATCCTATAGGGTTGCTATGAGTCAGAATCAACTCGACGACACTGGATTTTTGTCCCTGATTTAGTGACTCCTTCACTGTGTCTGGAAATCCTGCTGTGGCGCTATAGGGTAAACACTGGACTGCAAGGTCCGGTTGAACTGCCAGATCAGAAGTTCAAATTCACCAGCCGCTCCCCAGAAGCCTTATATAGGGTCACTATGAGTCAGAACCAACTCAACAACACTTAATAACAACAACAACAACAAACACTGTGCCCATGACCATTCATCTGTCAGTTTGACGTACTCTGGTGGTTGTGTGTTGCTGTGATTCTGGAAGCTGTGCCGCGAGGATTTTGAATGCCTCCAGGATCACCCACGGTGGACAAGTTTCAGCTGAGCTTCCAGACGACGACAGTCTGGGAAGAAGGAGAAGCAGACTGCTTCAAATATTTGGCCACCAGAAACCTTATGAATAATAGTCGAACACTGTCAGATACCACCAGAGTATCAGAACATTATGAATGCTGCTGTTGCTATTAGTTACCGTTAAGTCTGACTCATAACAGCAGAATGAAACACTGCCTGGACCTACACCATCCTCACAATCGTTCTTAAGCTTCAGCCCACTGCTGCTGCCACTGTGCAAATCCATCTCTTGGCGGCCTTCCTCTTTTTCCATAGCCCTCCACTTTATCTCCCATGATGTCCTTCTCCAGGGATGGGTCCCTTCGGACAGGGTGTCCGAAGTATGAGAGACGAATTCTCACAATCCTGGCTTCCAAAGAACATTCTAGTTGTATTTCTTCCAACACACATTTGTTGGTTCTTCTAGTAGCCCATGGTACTTATAACAGTCTTCTCAAACACTATAATTCAAATGCATCAGTTCTTCTATGGTTTTCCTTTTTCACTTTCCAACTTCCACATGCATATGAGGATGTCTATGCACTTTAGTCCTCAAACTGACATCTTTGCTCTTAAACACTTTGAAAAGGTCTTGTTCAGCAGATTTGCCTAATGCGATACGACGTTTGATTTCTTGACTGCTGCTTCCATGAGTGTTGATGGTTGATCCGAGTAAAATTAAGTCTTTGACAACTTCAATCTTTCTTCCATTTTTATGGATGTTGTTTATTGGTCCAGTGGTGAGGATTTTTGTTTTCTTTACATTGAGTCCTGGTATGGTGCTGTGGGTTAATGGACAGACTGCAAAGCCGTTTGAACTGCAAGGTTGGAGGTTCTAGCTCACCAGCTGCTCCTCGGAAACCCTATACAGGGTCGCTATGGGTCGAAACTGACTCGCCGGCACTTAACAACAGCAACAATAACCTATACCGAAGGTTGTGGTCTTTGATCTTCATCAGTAAGTAATTGAAGTCCTCTTTGCTTTCAGCAAGCAAGGTTGTATTATCTGCATATCTCAGGTTGTTAATGAGTCTTCCTCCAATTCTGATGTCCCTTTTCCTTCATATAACCAAGCTCTCTTATTATTTGCTCAGCATACACACTGAATAAGTATGATGAAAGAATGCAGCCCTGGCACATACTTTTCCTAATATTAAACCATTTGGTGATCCCTCGTTCTGTTCGAACAAGTGCCTCTTGCTCTATGTACAGGTTCTTCATGAGCACAATTAAGTGTTCCAGAATACTCATTTACACAATGTTTTCCATAGCTTGTTATGATCCATACAATAAAAAGCCTTTGTGTAGTCAAGAAAGCACAGGTAAACATTTTTCTGGTATTCGCTGCTTTCAAAAAAGATCCATCAGACATCAGCAATGGTATTCCTCATTCCAAGTCCTCTTCTGAATCTGGCTTGAACCTCTAGGTCTCTGTCATTGTATGGTTGCAGACGTTTTTGAATAATCTTTAGAAAATTTTGATGACAAGTGACATCAATGTTACTGTCCAATGATTTCTACATTTCTTTGGGTCACCTCTCTTTGGAATGGGCACAAATACAGATCTCTTCCAATCAGTTGGCCAGGTAGTTGTCTTTCAAATTTCTTGATATAGTTCACTGGATGCCTCCAGTGCTGCATCAGTTTATTGAAACATTTCAGTTTGTATTCCATCAATTCACGGAGTCTTGTTCTTTGCCAATGCCTCCAATGCACCTTGGACTTCTTCCTTCAGGATCATTGGCTCTTGATCATATGCTACCTCTTGAAATGGTTGAACATTGACTGTTTCTTTTTGGTACAGTGACTCTGTGTATTCTTTCCATCTTCTTTTGATGCTTTCTGAATCGTTCAATATTTGGCCCACAGAATCCTTCAATATTGAAAATCGAAGCTTGAATTTTGTTCTTCAGTTTCCTCACTTTGACAAATGCTGAACATGTTCTTCCCTTTTGGCTTTCTAACTACAGGTCTTTGAACATTTTGCTATAATACTTGACTTTGTCTTTTCAAGCTGCCCCTTAGAATTTTCTGTTCACCTTTTACCTCCTCATTTCTTCCATTTGTTTTAGCATGTCTACACTGGAGAGCAAGTTCAGAGTCTCTTCTGACATCCATTTTGATCTTTTCATTCTTTCTCGTCTTCTTAATGATCTTTTGCTTTCTTCCTGTATGATGTTCTTGATGTCATCCCCCAACTCTTCTGGTCTTCAGTCTTTAGCGACTGATACATCAAATCTGTTCTTCAAATGATCTCTAGATTCAGGTGGAATATATTCAAGGTCATATTTTGGTTCTCGTGGGC